GCTCAAACAGCGTGCAAGACATGTTGACAAGATGGTAAGAATCCTGAGGGACCTCAGTAAAGAAACTGTGCACATGCACATTATGAAAACTAGAATATGGCCTTATTTCTGTGAGGACATAATAATGAAAATGTACAGGAAAAGAAAAACATCTGGTCTTTAAATGCTTTTTAAGTGTAACACAGTTATAGTAGGTGCACTGCTGAAAAAACTTTGACATACCAGGAATTTAAATATCACATTATTAACATTTAATGTATTCACTTTTTTCCTGCCACTTGTCTTTAGATGTTTTATTCTGATATATGTATTAGGGATGCACAATATTGGATTTTTGGCTGGTGATCAGGTTGGTAGTGTTGCCCCAGCTGAGGTTGTCATTCAGGTGCACACCCAAGTCAGGGCCGGCCCAAGCCTCTATGGGGCCCTAAGCAAAAATTGGTTTGGGGCCCTCTATTTCTGCTAATAATGTGGATTACTGCAATCAACAGTTAGATGATCAGATCATTCACCCACCTAACATAAACTTAATAAAATGACCTACAGTATTAACAAACTGGTAAAATATAATCGTCTCTGCATTTGTTGACTACTTCTAAAAATTAAATATTTTATATTAGATTAATTTGGCATTACAAACATAAAAACTGATTTGATTTGGCTGATAAAGTGATGCATGCATGTTTTTGGTCTGTGGGAGGAAACCGGAGTACCTGGAGAAAACCCCCTCCATGCATGCGTGGGTTTTCTCCTGGTACTCCAGTTTCCTTTCACAGACCAAAAACATGCATGTTAGACTGATTGGTAACTCTAAATTGTCCCTAGGTGTGAGTGAGAGAGTGAATGGTTGTTTGTCTTTATGTGGTCCTGTGATGGACTTGTGACCCATTCAGGGTGTACCCTGCCCCTCGCACAGTGGTTGCCGGACATGGGCACTGGCGACCCCTGTGACCCAAAATGGAAGAAGCGGGTAAAAGATAATGGATAGATGGATGATAAAGTGATATTGAAGCACACAAATGTTATCTTGAAGTTGGTGAAGATTCTCAGTCATCCAGGACATGATGAATTCAAAAAGCGTTCAATACAAAAACAACTGGACTTTATTTGTAACAGAAGACGTTTCGCTCCTCATCCGAGGAGCTTTCTCAATTCAAAGAGCAGAGAGTGAGAGATTCAGGTTATAAGGCTGAGTGAGATAAGACACACACACACATATGTAGATTGGCAATTCACACCTAAACAAACATTAACAGTAAGAGTCTTTTGTTCCTCTAATACACAGACGAGGCCCCTCTGTTCCCATCAGGTGTGAAAACCGGCTGGGAATCTGTTTTAAAGTTGCATTATAGGTTTTTGAAAGTGGAAATCTGAGGCCTCCTCCTCTGTTAAGAGACGGCTTTTCTCTTTTTACATAAATTGCCTCCTTCACCCCCCTCTCAAACCATCTGTGTTCTCGGTCCAAAATGTGCACATTTTGGTCCTCAAAAGAGTGTCCCTTATCTGTGAGGTGGAGGTGAACTGCGGAATTTTGTCCTGTGGAGCTGGCTCTCCTGTGTTGAGCCATGCGTCTGTGAAGAGGCTGTTTATTTTCTCCAATGTAGAGGTCTGGAGAGTCCTCGCTGCACTGGACCGCATACACTACACCACTCTGTTTGTGTATGGGTGTTTTGTCCTTAGGGTGGACCAGCCTCTGTCTGAGAGTCCTGCTGGGTTTGAAATGTACTGGGATCTTGTGTTTGTTGAAGATCCTTCTGAATTTCTCTGATACTCCAGCAACATAAGGGATGACGATGTTTTTCCCTCTGTTGTTCTCCTTTTTCTGTTTATTAGTGTGTTTTGTAGATTTCCTCACTGACTTGACAAAAGCCCAGTTAGGATGTCCACATGTTTGAAGAGCTTCTTGAATGTGTTTCTGTTCCTTTTCCTTACCTTCTGTCTTCGTGGGGACGCATTCGGCCCGATGTTGTAATGTTCTGATGACAGAGAGTTTGTTTTCCAGTGGATGGTGGGAGTCGAACAGAATATACTGGTCTGTGTGGGTTGGTTTTCTGTAAACTTCAATGTTGAGGCTGTCCTCTCTCTCCATCTGAACCAAACAGTCCAAAAAAAGGCAGCTTGTTGTCGTTTGCATCCTCTCTGGTGAACTTGATGTTGTTATCGACCGAGTTAATGTGTCTGGTGAACGCTTCTATTTCCTTGGCTTGGATTTTGACCCAGGTGTCATCCACATAACAGAACCAATGGCTTGACGTTGTTCCCTCATAAGAGTTTAGGGCTCTCTGTTCCACTTCCTCCATGTAGAGATTGGCAACAATGGGTGACACTGGAGATCCCATGGCACAGCCGTGCTTCTGTCTGTAAAAACTGTCATTGAACTTGAAATAAGTGGTGGAGAGGCAGAGATCCAACAGGGTGCAGATCTGGTCTGGGGTGAAGTTGGTCCTGTTGATTAAGTCCTTGTCTTGTAGAAGTTGTTTTCTGACGGTTTCTACTGCTT